TGGCCTCATAGGGAGCTCCACTGAAGGCTCCAATGGCTGCGTTCGCACGCAGTTCCACCGGCCATGTCGGCACACCCACCACACGTTTCGTGGCCCCATAGGGGGCTCCACCCCATGCCCCAGTGGTACGGTTCGCACGCAGTTATCTTTTCCATTTCGGTACACTACGCACACGCTTCGTGGCCCCATTGGGAGCTCCACCGAAGGCCCCAGTGGCAGAGTTTCGCATGCGGTTCCGACCCTATTCGGCACACACACACACACACCTCTCACGCGTTTCATGGCTTCGCATCGCAGGGAGCTCCACCTAACGCGGTACCCAAAACGCGACATTCACAATTGCATGTGATTGGGTCTTTCGCCCGGATATAGTTTCCCAACCATCCTGTGGTGTTGGGTCTTCGTTTCGAAGAGACAGTGCCCCGTGTTTTCTCCTCCTCTCTCCTCCTGTCTCCTCCCCCGTCTTCCATGCCCGCCTTTGCTCTCGTCATGTCCATTTCGGGACACCCCTCACACGCTCCGTCGCCCCATAGGGAGCTCCGCCGAAAGCCCCAGTGGAAGGGTTCGCATGCGGTTCCACCCACATCTCGGCACAGCCTTTACACGCTTCGTGGTCCCATACAGCGCCCCACCTAAGTTCCCTGTGACGGGGTTCGCATGCGGTTCCACCCCCAATTCGGCACAGCTCTCACACGTTTGGTGGCCCCACTGGAAACTCTACCGAAGGCCGCAGTGGCAGGGTTCGCATGCGTTTCCACCGCCATTTCGGTGCACCCCTCGCACGCTTCATGCCCCCATAGGGAGCTCCACTGAAGGCCGCAGTGGCAGGGTTTGCATGTGATGGCACCCCCATGTCGGCTCCATAGGGAGCTCCACGGAAGGCCGCAGTCATAGGACTCGCATGCGGATTCACCCCCATGTCGGCACACCCCTCACACGTTTCGTGCCCACATGGGAAGTTCCACCGACGGCCGCAGTGGCAGGGTTTGCACGCGGTTCCACCCCCAATTCGGCACACCCTCACATGTTCCGTGGCCTCCATAAGGAGCTCCACCGAAAGCCGCAGTGGCAGGGTTCGCATGCGGTTCCACCCCCAATTCGGCACAGCCCTCACACGTTTCGTGGCCCCAGAGGGAGCTTCGCCGAAGAAGGTATTCACAACTGCGGTATTCACAATTTCATATGGTTGAGTCCGTCATCAAGGTAACTTTGCTAGCCCCCCCCTTCGTATTCATTTGTCTTGCGGTACACACAGCTTCAGATTGTTGGGTCCTTCGCCAGTGTTGGGCCCTGGTGTTTGACCAGATATCGCCCCGCATCTCATTTCCTCTCTCATGTCCTTCTCCCCTTTCCTCCCGTCTCCAGTCCTTGCCTTTGGCCTCTACATGCCCTCGTGGGAGTTCCACTGAAGGCGTCAGTGTCAGGAATCGCATGCGTGACCGCGCCCTTGTCCCCAGACCCCATCATGCGCTTCGTGGCCCCGCAGGGAGCTCAACCGAAGGGTGGCAGGAATCGCGTCCGTTACCGCGCCCATCTCGGCAAACCCATCACATGCTTCGTGGCCCCACAGGTGGTTCCACCGAACGTCCCACTTGCAGGAGTCGCATGCGTAACCGCGTCCATCTCGCCAGACTTCTCACGCGCTTCGTGGCCCCACAGAGGGCTCCATCGAAGGCCCCAGTGGCAGGAATCGCTTGCGTGACCGCTCCCAATTCGGCACACCCCTCACGCGTTTCGCGGCCCCACAGGCAGATCCACCGAAGCCCCCAGTTGTAGAATCGCACGCGTGGCCGCGTCAAACTCGGAACACCACTCACACGTTCCGTGACCTCACAGGGAGCTCCACCGAAGGCCCCTGTGGCAGGGCTCGCATGTGTGACCAGGCACATTTCGTTCCACACACATACACGCCTCACACGTTGCGCTGCTTTATCTGGAGCGCTACCGAAGGCCCCAGTTGCAGGACTCGCACGCGTGCTAGCGCTCATTTCGGCACACCACTCACGCGTTTCGTGGCCCCACAGGGAGCTCCACCGAAGGCTCCAGCGGTAGGAATCGCATGCGTGGCAGAGCAAATTTCCAGACAGCCCTCGCACGCTTCGTGGCCTCACCAACGGCCCCAGCGGCAGGACTCGCATGCGTGACCGTGCCCAGTCTGGCACGTTCCCCACACGAGCCGTGGCCCCACAGGGAGCTCCGCCGCAGGCCCCGCTGGCAGGAATCGCATGCGTGACCGTGTTCTTTTTCGACGCGCTTCTCACACGTTTCGCGGCGCCGCCTGCTGCTCCCCAGGGCCATGGCGACAGACTCGCAGGTCACCCGTAACGGGTGACATCCAGGTGCAGCCGGTCACGGCCGATTTCTGCGACCCCATCCGCAATGTCGTTCCGTCTTTCTCGCGCACGCTTCTGTTCCCAACCATCTTGTGGTGTTGGCTCCCCGTTTTGAATCAGCATCGCCCCGCGTATCTTCTCCTCTCCCCGCCTCTCCTCTCTTCTCTTCTCCTCTCCTCTCCTCTCCTCTCCTCTGCTCCTCCCCCTCCTCCCATCCATGCTTCTGCCCACCGCATGCGCATTTCGGCACACCCCTTACACGCTTCGTGGCCCCAGAGGGAGCCCCACCGAAGGCCCAAATGGCAGCGTTTGCATGTCGCCACCGCTCCATTTTTGCACACCCCTCACACGTTCCGTTGCCCTATAGGGAGCCCCACCGAAGGCCCAAATGGCAGCGCCCGCATGGCGCCACCGCTGCATTTCGGCACACCCCTCACACGTTTCGTTGCCCCATAGGGAGGTACACCTCTCACACGCTTCGTGGCCCCAGAGGGAGCTCCACCGAAGTTCCCAGTGGCAGCGCCCGCATGGCGCCACCGCCACATGTTGGCACCCCCCTCACACGCTTCGTGCCCCCATAGTGAGCTCCACCGAAGGTCCCAATGGCAGCGCCCGCATGGCGCCACCGCTCCCTTTCGGCACGCCCCTCACACGCTTCGTGGCGTGACCCCATGCGCAGCGCCACCGAAGGCCCACATGGCAGCGCCCACATGGCGCCACAGCTCCGTCTATGGCCCCGTTGGGAGCCCCACCGAAGACCCACATGGCAGCGCCCGCCAGGCGGCGCCCAGCCCGTTTCGGTTGTCCCCCCCACACGTTTCGTGGCCCCAAAGCGATCTCCCCTTTTTCTTCCCATCTGCCGCACGGCCATCACACCAGCAGATGGCTGTGTCATCTGCCCGGGTACGTCGTTGTTTTGCTGGCATGCACACTGCTCACAGCTGCATATGTGTGGGTCCTTCGCCAGGCAAATGTGTCCCAACCATCTTGTGGTGTTGGGCCCTCGTTTTTGAAGAGGCATCGCCCCGCGTCTCCTCTCCTCTCGTCTCCTCTCCAATCCTCCTCTGTTCTCCTTCTCCCCTTCCCCCCTCCTCCCACCCTTGCCTCTGGCCTCGGCATGTCCTCATGGGAGCTCCACTGAAGGCCTCAGTGTCAGGAATCGCATGCGTGACCGCGCCCATTTCGGCACACCACTTACGCGTTTCGTGGCCCCATCTGGAGCTCCACCGAAGCCAACAATGGCAGGAATTGCATGCTTGACCGCACCCGGCACCCACTTCGGCACACCGCTCACGCGCTTCGTGGCCCCATCAGGAGCTCCATTTAAGCCCAAGTGGTAGGAATTGAGTGCGCGCTCTTTTCGACACACCCCTCACGAGGACCGTGGCCGCATAGGGAGTTCCAGGAGCTCCAGTGCCCCGAATCGCATGCGTGGCCGCGCCCATGTCGGCACACCCTTCACACATTTCGTGGCCCCGTACGGAGCTCCAGCAAAGGCCCCTAGCGGCAGGAATTGCATGCGTGACAGCGCCCATGTCAGCACACCCATCACGCATTTCGTGGCCCCATACGGAGCTCCACCAAAGGCCCCAGCGGCAGGAGTTGCATGCGTGACAGCGCCCATGTTAACACACACACACACACTCCTCACGAGTTTCGTGGCCCCATACGGAGCTCCGACAAAGGCCCCAGCGTCAGGAATTGTATGCTTGATTGCGCCCATGTCGGCACACCCCTCACGCTTGTGCCTCCATAGGGAGCTCCACCGAAGGCCCCGCTGGCAGAAATCACGTGCATGACCGCGCCCGTTTCGGCACCCCCCTCACTCGCTTCCTGGCCCCATGAGGAGCGCCACCGCAGGCCCCGCCGCCTGCTGCTCCCCAGGGCCGCGCCGACAGACGCGCAGGTCAGCTGTGACGGACTGTGTATCCCGTTGCGGTTGATCGTTGCGCCCCCCTCAGCAGCGTCGCCCCCCTCCTTCTCACGCGCGCGCTTGTCATTCTGCTAGAGCCCCCACCTCTAGTTCCCTGTTGTCTAGCGGCACTCGCCGCTGCATGCGGTTGGGTCCTTCGCCAGGCGAAGCAACGAGAGCCTGTGGCTTCGGCAGCGCAGGCCCATCGTTTTTTCTCACGAGGGACCGTGGCCTCGGGAGGGGGGGGGCATTGCAAGCAGAAATCTGCGGGTACACCTGGGGAGCCTTATTGGACTGCAGAGACCCTGCCAGGCAGCACTTGGCATCCTACCACGCCTCGGTGGCAGGAATTACGGTGGGGGCGTTCGTTAAGGAATGTGCTTATGAGGCTGCAGACCTTGGAGGATTCCTTATCCAATGAGGGTGGCGGTGATACCCGTGGCCACTACATGCTCGGAGTTCCGCGGGCTTCAAGGCCCTGGATTCCTGATCCGGTGGTTCCCTATCCAATGCGCGCATAGATGTACACTTGCATGTGTAGAGCAGATTCGTGTGTTCTCGAAGGTACTAAGGGCAGACGCGGCGAGGCCCCCGACGCTTATAAGTATTCGATGCGGCACCCGCGTGGACAGGGGAGGTTGCCATGTTGTTGTGTTGGGGCGCATCTTCATCAACATAAGAGGTTCCAGTGACACAGCTGAAATAGCGAGCTGCGGTGTTCGCGTTGTGTGTCGTTCCTTGTCCGCTGGCCTCAGGTGAAGAGCTTCTTCCCTTTTTTGCGACTGTTACTGGCAGCTCTCGAGCGGCTTCCTGATTATTCTGGCCAAGTATACTGTGGGGCCAGAAAGGACTTCGAATTCATCTATGTATATTTACATACATCGCATCTGTGCTATGATCATGTACGTACGGGTATATGCACATATTGCTATTGTAGGCCCGTGTGGAGCATGGCGTTCTTATCTGATTGCACAGGCGGTGGGAGGGAAAACGGCATCACCTGCCGAGATTGGGGATAAGTCTTTAAAGTGACTCTGGGGCACCGTCGGATGGGCAACATTTTGTCGCCCGCAAGCGCTCGCTCACGTTGAAGCTGTACGGTCCCATCGCGAGCCGTTGATAGTCGTCGCATGTGGTTGGCTGACATTCTTCTCTCTCCATAATTTCTTGCCGACCAGCCCCAGCTGGCCTCCGCAGTGTTGCATTCCATTCTAGGGAAGCACCTCTGCTCATCGTCGTCCTGCTGCTGTTCCTCCTCCTCCTCCTCCTCCTCGTCCTTCTCCTCCCGCTCCTCCTCCTCCTCCTCTTCCTCCTCCTTTCTCCTCCTCCTCTCCTCCTCCGCCTCCTCCTCCTCCTCGTCCTTTCTCCTCCTCCTCTCCTCCTCCGCCTCCTCCCCTCCTCCTCCTCCTCCTCCTCCCTCCTCCTCCTCCCCCCCCCTCTCCTTGTCCTTCTCCTCCTCCTCCTCCTCCTCCTCCTCCTGCCAGACAGCGTGCAACAACCCAGCGACATGTGCAACCCGCCTAACACGGTGCCAGCACAAGCAGACAAGCACGCCGAGATCCGACGCGAGACCAGACGATGGGTTGCGATGTGGATCAGCGACCTGCGAGGTGAGGCTTCCTTGCAGAGGAGCGGGTTCATGGACTGGTGGGAGGCCTACTTGAGCAGGTCATCCACGACATCTGCGAGGAAGCTTGGGAGAAGAGCGCCGTCAGGAAGAGGCACTTCTTGGCGCACCCGAGGGGAGCCCACGAGGACGAGCGGCAGGCCGTGGCCGAGGGGCACTACTCCGAGCTCAGGGCGCTGAGGGCTACGATGCGTCGGCTACTTGGCGAAGGCGCACCACCGCTGGTCGCCCAAGGCCCTGAGCAATACCGCGGCCATGGCGTGTACCCCAGCAGCGGCAGCGAGCAGGCGCAGGGGGGTCCACGATTGGCGACGGCTGCTGCGTTGGCGGCCGCCGCCTGGAGCGCCTGCTAGCGGGGCCCCACGAGGCCAGCGAGGATTGCGACGGCGACGGCTACGACCAGGCGGACGGCGCGACGACGCCTCGTGAAGCGCGACTGGGGACCTTTCAGGAGCGTTGCAGGCGTGCGGGGCCGGGACCCCCCTGTGGTTGGCAGCGGGGCGGGTCCGCGGCTGCCAGAGGCCCAGGAGGAAGCGGGCAGCCCCAGCACGCTACGCCAGCAAGCCAGCGGCGACACGCGTGCGGGGGCAACGGTGAGCTGGGTAGCCACAGCGGATCGGGAGCGTCCTGACCACGTGCTGCTGCTGAAGGAGGCTCCGACAGCGACGTCCCGTTGGCCAAGGCCCCTCGGCTCGAGGTGGTGCCGTGCCGCCGCCAGCTCGTCATCGAGAGCGGCAGGTCCAGGCGCGGAACGGACGAGAGGCCGAGGGCGGACGAGGCGAGACTGGCAGCCGAGAGGGCAGCGGACAGCCAATTCGACGGCAGGACGTTCGAGCCGCAGAGTGGCCTGGGCAGGCGCGTGGCGGCCACGCTCCAGCGCGAGACGGGGCCCCCCGCTCTTCATGCCCGACGACGTGCGGCCCGTGGAGCTCGAGACGGCCCCGCTGCGCCACCGCGCCCAGTGGCTGGGCAGCTCGGCATCGCTGGCCTGCGGCTGCGACAGGCGCGGCACGGGGGCCAAGCTCAAGGAGGATCTCGAGAGTGGCCTGTGCAGAGGCTAGCCAGTGGCAGCGGAGGAGGCACATCCCAGTCACGTGCTCATGGTCGCAGGCAGCGTGTGCAACGCCCGTGGCGCGCGCAGCTGGAGGCCCGACTGTGCTGCTGGCGGAGAGGGGCATGGCGAAGCCAGGCGACAAGAACGCCAATACCTTCCTGAACCACATGAGGGCGGACCGACACCCAGTCACCCACGAGTGCGTCGGCAACCCCGTGCAGCTCGCGCCGAAGCCCGTGGGGGTGACGCCGACATGAGCGGCGCGCGAGAGGCAGCTGGCGCGGCCATCGCGTGGCGCGGCCAGGGGCGAGCCCCGCCAGCCCCCCTCTCGGGCGGCCGAGCTGGCGCCGACGCTGGCTAGGCCAGCGGCGCGGCGATTGCAGGAAGGCTGGCGTGGCCCGAGGCGCGCCCACGCTGCTGGCGCCATGGCCCACGGCAGCGGCTGGCGGCGGCGAAGCGCCTGAGGCGTGAGGCCCGTGGGCGGGCCACGCCAGCGCACGTGGCGGCCGCGGCGTGGGGCGCCGTGGCTGCAGAGCGCGGCTTCGCCGCGCGGGGACATGTCACCTCACGCCGCGCAGCCTGCTCCCGACTTCTCCTTCTCCTCCTTGTCGTCGTCGTCGTCGTCCTCCTCCTCCTCCTCCCCCTCCTCCTCGTCTCCTCGTCCCCTTATCCTTTGTCTACCTCCTCTCCTTCCGCTCATCCTCCACATCTTTCTCTTCCACTGCCAACTTCCATCCTCCTCATACTCTTCCTCATCATGTTCTTCTTCGCGTCCTCCTCCCCCTCCCTCTCCTCCTCTGGCTTCCCCTTCCCCCTCCGTCTCATCCTCCACGAAGTCCTCGGCTTCTTCCTTGCGCCCCTCATCTCCTCACCCTTCCCATTATCATGTTCTTCTGTCCTTCGCCGCCCTCGGCCGGAGTGGACGCCCCTGGAAGCGGGACCCCCGCCAGAACAGGGGCAGAGCCCCAAGGGGAGGATGAGGGGATGTGGAGGAGGAGGAGGAGGAGGAGGAGGAGGAGGAGGAGGAGGAGGGAGAGGAGGAGGAGGAGGAGGAGGAGGAGGAGGAGGAGGAGGAGGGAGGAGGAGGAGGAGGAGGAGGAGGAGAGGAGGAGGAGGGGGAGAAGGAGGAGGAGGAGGAGGATGAGGAGGGCGAGTGTATTCTCTTTCCGCTTTGTCCACGAGGACTTCCGCACGGGAGGATTGGAAGGAGGCTTGGGAAGGGACGGCGACAGACGGACGCCCTTTTTGTTGCCGACATTTCTTATTCGTATTATTGCCGTTCTGATTATCCTAACTATTTTGTATTTTTTCATAGTATTACAACATATTGCTCCTAATATGCTATTATGTCTCGTTTTCTTCTTCTTCTTATTCCTCTTCGGTCCACCCCGCCGTTGACCGTGCAGTCCGATGTTGATGGGAGGCCGACCTTGCCAGTACCCAGAGTGCTGTGGTGTCTTCTGGATCCCTATCTCTTCCTCCTCGCTCCTCCACCCTCCTTGACGCTTCCTCTCCCTTCTTTGCGAGAGTGTTGGGTCTCCATGTGCACGACGGTTCCGAGACCCCGCATCTCTCATTCAGATTATTTCGTCCAGGGACCTGGCCATGGGCGACGGACATGGCGCTACCAAGGCGTGACGGGCCGTGCAGTGCCGAGTCGCCCCGAGTGATCAGGAAGGCGACAAGGAGGAGCAATAGCAGGAGGAGTCGGATAAATGCCTACGCAAGAGAGGACCTGTCGAATAGCTACCCCATGGGCTCGCAGCTCTCCATCTGGAGCTTCCAGAGCGCGATGACGGACGCCGACGCGCTGGCGGACGACACCTTCCTGGGAAAATCAGGCCATCAGCTCCGATGCGTTTGGCTTCTCACTGCTCGGGCAGCTTCTGCGGGGTACAGTCGGCCTTGATCAGTAGGCCGACCCTGCCAAGTCAAGGGTACCCTCGTGTCCTGTCTTTAGCGACCCGCGCCTTTTACGTTCCTATGGCGATGCAGCCCTCGGAGGGGTCTTGTGTCCTCTCGCGCGTCCTCTCCAATCAAGCCCGACTGTAGGCTGAGAACCTCTCAGGCGCAGGGGTGGGACGGCAGTCGAGGTTCCGCTGCTGGTGGGGGACCCCCCGGCGACCCGCGCCCAGAAGCAGTTGCCCCCTCCACGCAGAGGTCGGCACGCAGGCGCCATCGCAGGATGCCGGGGCGTGGGCGGTCTGCTCCTGCATCGTGCGCTCCAGACGCCCACGGATGCGGAGCTCCACGCGTGTGGAGCCCCTCAGAGGAGGAAAAGGTACCCATATCTCTACCCTCCCCTCGTTTTCCCACTCTTGGGCCTCCTGGGCGGCCCTCATCGCCACCGCTGGATTCGCCCCGAAATCCTGGTCAGAACGCATCCCAGGAGAGGTCTGGGGAGTAGCGGTATCGGTACCTTTTGCTATCCCCAGCCCCATCTGTGCAGAACCCCATGCGTGCGAGACCACCTCGTGTGCGCAGAATGGACGACGTCTGGCGCCCCACGCAGGAGGAGCGCAAGGAGTGTGTGCGGGCGTCTGGCACCCAAAGCGCGTGAAACCCGGGCCCCGCGCTCATGGGATCCAACGCGTGCGGATCTCGACGGGGCTCCACAGGCCACGGTGCGTGGACCCTCTTTGGGACTCCAGATTCCAATGGGCGACGACGGGGTGCGGACCCTCCATGGGGTTGCGGTGGAGACGCTCAAACAAGGACCGCTTTGCAAGGGCGCCCTCGAGGGCGCGAGGTTCGGCTCCCTCCTCTCCCCTGGGGCCCTGGGGTGCGGCGCGAGAGCGCGGAGTGATTCGCGCTTCGCGCAGCGCGAGAGCGCGAAGTTGGGCGCCCTGCATGTCTGAGAACCGCACGGGCTGTTGAACCGCCTGGGCTTCCAGAGGCCACGCGTGTTGAACCACATGGTGGACACGGCTGGAGAGTTGGCGCACGGGGCCGTTTGCGCAGTCCGCGAGCGAGAGCCCCGTGAGCGCAAGCACCTGTTTGGGGGGAACAGTCCAGTGCGCGACCGCCAAGGCCGGCACCGAGTTCCTCCCTTCCCGATGCGATCTGTGTTGTTTCCCGGCTTGCACTGCACGTGTCTCGCCGTGCTCGTCTGTCCGCGAGACGCGCGATTGGTATACAGTGGAGACCCGTGCCAAGAAACACCCTGCTTGCCTCCAGGGTGCCCTGGGTTTCTCGGTTTGCGATTGTTTTGCGATGGAAAGCGTGACGTGCCCACACCAAAAATCAGGTGACGCCCTGTGGTCTCAGGGTTGGATTTCTTGTGGAAGATTTCTTGTGGTCGGGGCCCTACTGTACGGTCAGGAACTTCGGCTTGCTTTGTCGCGTTGCCAGTTCTGGCCCACCACGGTCGGCGCGACATGCTGTCCACTTCCCAGTCCCCAGGCTTCAGCGTCCCGAGCCCTTCCGCGCTTCCCGCCCCGCGGAGCGGAGCGACACGCTACCCGCTTTCAGGGCACTGCGTGTCGCCAGGGTTGCATCGATCCCCATCGCCATCTAGTGGAAGGTTTCTTGTGGTCGGCCCCTGCTGCACGCAGGGGCCGTGGTCCTGACCTCCTCTAGTTTTGGTGAGACACGTGAGTGGTGCCGAGGATGCGGAAGATGAGGAGGAGGAGGAGGGGGAGGAGGAGGAGGAGGAGGAGGAGGAGGAGGAGGAATAGGAGGAGGAATAGGAGGAGGAATAGGAGGAGGAAGGAGGAGGAGGAGGAGGAGGAAGAGGAGGATGAGGGCCCTCCACGGTCCGTACACCA